GATGAATCGGAAAGGGTGAATATCGTTGGAACGATGCATGATCGAACGGAATGAATGCGAGTTCACGGCAAGAATCCTGAAGTTTATTAAACTATGAAGACGCGGGTGGAAAATGAAGAAGCTCGAGGAGTTTGTTTGCTCCGCTTAATGATGTCGAGGCGTCGCTTCCAATCGTAAAGAAGCGATGATTGAATTGGCAGACTTTATAGCGATAGACATCGTGCTCGACATTATGACAGATTTAATCAACAGTGCCGTGCTAATAAACGCGCCCCTGACAATTTATTTACGTATCGTTATTCACATTTTACATTGCGAATAGCTTGATTCTAACATACCTTCTCTCTCGATAAATAATTTCGTTCAAAAATGACAAAAAACTATTACCTTTGCACAGAATTTTTTATTAAAAAACACTTAATTTATTTCATATCCGATATTTTTATTTCGGAAATTTAAAATATATTTAATAGATTTAAACGATATTCAAATTTAAACAATGGAATTTTTTAAATCAATTCTTCCTTTATTTCGTTTTTAGAGAATCACAGTTTGCGAACAAAGCTATTCAACTCATAAATGGTTTCTTCGCAAAGTTGAAAAAAAATTCGTGTACATAAATTAGCGAAATATAATTTAGTTTCGAAATTGAAGCCAGACATTCCGAGAAAAACACCCGTAATTAATTCCAATCTTTTCCCTCATATTTTCGCGAGGGGTGCGTGAATAAAAAGTTCCCTATTATTAAAGGCTCCCTCGTGTTAACGTCCTCGTTTACACGAGGAGAGCGATTCACCGCGAACGATAACAATTTTGACGAGCTACACGTTACACGTATCCGAGCGGGGCGACTCGACCGCAAACCCTCGAGATTTATGCTATGCGTGTCATCCGCGGCATGCCTATGATTCGCCCGCTGTCGCCGACGGGAATCATTCATCGCCCCAGCCGAGCCATAACCGGGCATAAATTCGCGCTCGTGGGGAGGTCGCGGGGGAGGTGTGCACGAAACGTGCCTATAGCGTTTCTACATGCTTGTCTCGATATAAATCCGCGGCTCGACCGAATACCTCTCGATGGGGCTCGCGTACGGCGTAATTACCAGGCCGCCTGGATTGATTTTCCGTTCATTCAATGGAACGATACCCTCAATTGCCCGCCCGATCGAACACATGCGCGCACGTGTGCGTGCGCGCATTTGTCGAAATCCTTTGAAAGCGGCATCCGATGTCTCCGATTGGCCGATTGACGAGACCGCCGCGTGCGGTCGTTCGTATCGTGAAAAGAATCGGCCTTTCTCGGCGACGACGCGGTAGAAAACTCTCGCCAGAGAAGTGGCAACCTGGGTATTGAATTTTTGTCGTCGCTCTGTCGCGCACTTCGCGAATAACGACCGGTAGCGATTTTTCTCCAGCTCGTTTTAACACCCAAAGCGAAGGACATGCTTGAGGAAAAAGGAAGTGGACTACATATATAGCGGTGAATGAATGGGATTGGCGGGTGAATAGGATTTTAGACGGACCCTAGAGAAATGGCGTAAAGTGATTGTCTATCAATGTAGTTTTACGTTTAGCGCCGGAAAACTAGAAAGGCTGCAGCAGCGGATGAAGCATAGTTGCGGATATTATCCGAGCGAAACATTTGTAAAACTTTAATACCGACAATTAATGACGAATATAAATGTCAGGTGAATAAAGGGGAAAATATATAAGAAGAAAGGAAGGAGAAGAGAGAGATTATTGATAAAAATGTCTGGATTACTTTACTCGGTGATGCGAAGGGAAGACGCAAAGATTAAAGTCCAACATTAATTTGTGACGCTAATAAATTCTTGGCCCATCGCGAAGGTAATTTTTCTAAAATTACCTCTTAGAATTACGGGGACTTCCGGATTTACCGAGGAGAGCGTATTGTGCTCTCAAAGTATTGATCGGTAGTCCAGCAATAATGCCGCGCCAATAGTCGTAATCTCGACTATACCGGCAAATTCATTTCGATCTCTCGACCGACCGAGTTTTACAAATTAAAAAAAGGTAGAAATAATGAAAAAAACAAGTGCGAACCGCAGAACAAGCTGCTTTAAACGACCAGAGTTGGATGAAAATTTCGAATGGTCTAGATCGAGGGCGATGGAAAAATTTCCGCCATTATATGTATTTACGACAAAAGAATTCTCTCTCGTGCTCCGATTATTATTTTTTTAATATTATAAATTTTTTGAAAAATAAAATAATTTCATCGAGCGGTTATTTATTAACCGGACATTTCGCCGCGATAGCTTCGTAAAATACAAGTATCTTCTCACCGTCAGTAATTTTCACGATAAAGAGCATCCTTCTTCGCTCCCTTATTTCTCGCGCTAATGATACATCTCGACTATTCTCAGCAAGTGACGGTAAGCTCCGAGCTGTGCGCCGTCTACGTTTAAAATTTAGGACGGCTTAACGTCGACCAGGCCGGCGATTATCGGCCGAATTTAAATGGAGAACGTGCTTAAATTTTAACTCTCGCGTACCTCTATAAAGGAAACCTGTCGAGATGATCATCAATATGCTTAAATATGATGAAACGCGATCGTGTTCCGATATTCCCTATCGTGAATTTTTCAGCTGGACGCGTGCAAAGTTCATCGATAAAGCTAGGAAGAGAGAGAAATAGAGGGAGAACGAGAGAGAGAGAGAGAGAGAGAGAGAGATAAATTTCCGCTGGGAACGTGCGGTGATCCCGCGGTGTCTCTTTCGAAAGGGCAAACGAGCAGCCGCGTACATCCGATAATGACTCGCCGCAGAAACGAGAGGAAAAAGTTCAGACAACCTGCCAACTTTTCGCGTAGCTCGTGAAAGCTGAAGACTGGCAAAGTGCCTTCTGGAACTTGAGCGCTTCCCCGCTCGTTAACCCGTTGATCACCTGTTGGCAATGGAAGAAGGGAGATTCAACATCAATCCGTATTCCAACGAGAGACGCGCCCGAAACGACTATCGCGCTTCGAGTTAATTTGCGTAAAACGTTTCGCTGCGAAACATATTGCATTCTCTCGTATTCATAGAAACGCAGCGACTCCTCCCTCCGGTTGCGAGATTGGAAATGAAATTTAAAACCGAAGGGATTATAACGATCCGGTGGAGGAGTATTCGCGGGAGATCCTTAATAATCGAGATACGGGGACTTGATAATTCGTTGATCGAGAACAAGGATTTAATGCGAATTTGTAATCCGTCCCCAGAGAGAGAGAGAGAGAGATGGAATATCGAAACAAATTTGCGAATTTCACAAATTTCAGGCGCAATTTCATCGCGTTCTGTCGCAGAGAGAACTATGCGGAATACCCCAACTCCCGTCGCAGTTGGAAATATTGTATAGCGACGAAATTGGAGGAAATGGACCGCTGCCCCCAGGTACGTCCACTCGCTCCTCGTCGCTTCTGGATCCATCCGGTGACTCTTATTAATAACCGCGCGCGCAGCCGTTGAATACAGAGAGGCCAGGGGCCTCGATTGCGGGGGCGGCGACGCGATCTCGCGAGGAAGACACGGAGAAACGGGTGCGGAGGGAAGCCTCTGACTTGATTTCCCGCTGAATCAAACGCGCTCTTGTTTCACGCCCGCGGCCGCCTATTTAATTCATCAGATCGCGCGCGAACAATTTCATTGCGTCTACGCGTGATGCGCGTGCAAAGCGCATCCGTCGCGTCGCGTCTGTCGCGGAAATGCAACCATTGTTTCGCGGATTTCCCGAGGAGAAGTTTCCAACTCCAAGATCGCCGGGTTCGATCGAGCGCAAGAGAGAGAGAGAGAGAGAGAGCTTCTTCCGAACATATCTAAAAATGTTCGGAATGTTTGCAGCTTCTCCCCTTCAACGAGCAAAAACGAGAGACGGTAGCGAAACGCGGTAGCAAATTTCACAAAGCGGAGTGGCTTCGGCGCCGCCTGTTTTCCGTCAGTTTTCCGTCGATACCACTCGGCAACATTCCGCGAGATGCCGGCGAGCTTGTTTTTGTCGGTTCTCGCGCGCTGCAAAAAACATCCCCTGCGCTCTTTTCGCCGCGATCGTGTTACGAACGGGGGGATGCGTTACGCCAGAATAGATTGCGGAAGTATCAAACACGTAGCTTCAAACAGATCCTGTGTACATGTCGATATTGCGCTGTTTCCTCGCTAATATTAATCTCTCGATAAAAGGTCTTTACGTTCTCCTTTTTTCGCGTCTTTATCGAATCTAGTGCGATTTTATTATCGCATGTATTATTACAACCGACAGCACTTTGAAGAGGCTTCATTTTTTATTCATCTTACTATTAGAAAAAAAATGATTCATTATTGAATATATTCTTCTGTCGCTGGCGACAGATTAAGTAAAGAAGATTATTGTGTATATTTTAGTATAACTGAAAGCGCGCATCTCTGGTTGAAAAAGCCTCGTTCTTTATTTATTTAGCTTTTAGAAGAATAATTAGTCGACGAATATGCTTGTAATTCTAGTGACTTGTTACATCAAGAAGATTAATGCTTGGGAAATTTGCGACACCAGTCTCGATAATCATATGATTGGAAAAAATATATATATATAATCAACATGAATACGTGCGTGTAATTAAAAGTGATATTATTATAATAAAATTTCGTCGGAAAAATGATACGAAACAAAAGAAGAAACGTTTGCGCTCTCTCTCTTTTAGCAAGATTTCTTGAAAATATTATTTCACGAATAATTAATACACTTTCAATGACGCACGTTTATTGCGCGATATTAAAAAATCTTGCGGGGGGGAAATGGGATACTATCGCATAGTTCGAACATTTTTAACGCGACACATCTCGACCGCGTTATCTCAGATTACAGTTCAATAGCGATTGCGGATTCTGTCACGTTATCCGCAAAACGCTGGCCCGGTTTAAATTACTCTCCCGACACTCTATACTATCCGAAAACACATAAACAACTCGTGACCCATTTTCCCCGCGAGACTCTTTACACAAGGCTCGAGCAAGGTTGAAACGTACCTAGGTAGGTGCTGTTGGTAATAACCCAGAAGAGTTTGAGCGGATCAACCATTAAACCACGTTCACATCACATAAACTACCCGGTCCAATCAATCCGATCCGACTCGCAAATCTAGAAACCAGTCCACCTACCGCCCGTCAACCGGTATCACTTGCTTATTTAGCGCTTCCGACACGCACACCCTCACACGCACGGCCCTCGGAAGAGAAAGAAAGACAGAGAAAGGACGTTTGTCTCCGCACCGACGTCACGCGCGCGCGCGCGCACGCACCCTCACACGCGCACACATGGCAGGAGGAACGCAAAAATCGGCGGTTCGCCACCAGATCTTTCCCTGGTGCAAGCCCGATGACTCTCGCGATGACCCTCTCTCTACCTTCCGGCGCCGATACCTCCTCGCGTCACCCGCTTCCGTTCGCTTCTGGCGAATTCCCGCCGCGCGGATCCCGGATCACGCGCGTCGATTCCGCGCACTGTGCGGGGCAGCGCGTTATCTCAACGCGCGGGCCGGCACCGACCGTATCGATAAGCCTGTCAGCGACATGCTCTTATCGCGTACGACTCGTACGCGCATTTACACGTGTGCGGGGAAAGGAAGAGACCGAGGAATCGCGAGAAAAAGAGAGCGAGAGGAACCGAGAAAGAGAGAAAGAGACAGAGAGAGAGAGAGGGAGAGAGGATGACGGATGACAGAGACGGTTGAGAGGAGGGAGAGACCCGACGCGTCAACGGTGGCCGGGAGTCCTACACACGCGGGGCAAAAGCACCAGGCTATACGTGCGATACGTACGCAGGGAAAGCAATGGGAAAGGTACATGGGGAGAGAGGCCGCGGTGGCCGGTCGCGCCGCGCGCGAGAGGCCCCCAGATTTGCGCAGCCGCGCCAAATCAGTCGGGGGACGGGGGAGGCGCGCGATCCACCCTCAGTCAATATACCGTGTCACCGCGTAACACTGAACGCGGAATCGCCGGAATGCGGTAGACTCGTATATAGTTACGATACACCTGCCCCACGGGCGAGCGCCGGGAGAGACGCGTGTAGCGTTCACGAGCGACACCCTCGTCGCACGTGATGATCGCGGACGCGAAGGGAGGAGGGTCGATTCCAGGGGATAAGCAAATGAGAGCGGTTTCATGTCACGAGCCCCGATCTCCTCCGGATTTCCTTCTCTTTTTACGGGAATTAATCGCCGGTCGCGTATCGGTGAATTTGATTAAAAATTGACGATCGGTCAATAATCTTGATTAGAAACGCTATTTGGAAATTGATACTTCGCGTGTGTTTAATAAGGGATTCCAAATCGCCCTTTGTGACGCACCACTTGGAGTTATTTAGCTCATTAATCGAGAAATGGAAACGAGGCTAAACGTCGTTGTACAAACGCTACATATTTGATCATTATAGATCATATATCATTTCCATTGATCAATCGAATATCTGAGAGTTAGACAATGAAATTTATATATGATTAACCTGGAAAGCGCTCCACAATTACACGAGAGTTACAGAATATTTCGAAATGCTGATTCCAATCTAATCTACTTGTTTCCATATAATTAATACCTTTCGGAGCAAAAAATTTCTCTAACAAATAATCATTATTTATATTGTATTAATTTCCATTTTAATATATAAAATAGATATTCAAATGTAATAAAAAAAGTTGAACATATAATTAAATATGTAAAAGTTAAATATATAATTTTGTCAGATTCTATTTTAGGAAAAATTAGCAGAAGCAGAATAATGCATATTTTTTAATTATATAACCGCTAAATGAATATAAATGGCGTTCTTATCGAATATCTCACGAGCCTTGATCTAGACTTTGTTTTCGAATCTTGGATTACTTCAAATCCGATCCCGAGTAGTTTTGCAATCCGAGGAAGAGAAGCGCGCACATGCTTCGAGTTCGCGCTCGGCTGAACTCAAGAACTTGGATTCAACACTTATTCAGCGCTCTATTTCGGTACATCCCGTACTAAATTCACGTAAACACGGGCGTGCCTTCCTTCCCGCGGAAGAGCCGCAGAAACGTAAATAAAAGAAACGATTCGCGTAATATACACAATTTTCATAACACGACTTCATTTTCATACGCGCTCTTTTAGACACGAAATATTTCCGAAATCTGCGAGAAATCGATTTTAAATAATTTTATCATTGTTTTACGTTTATTAATTTACATACGTATCTTACGAGAAGAAAGAGTGAGGGAAAGCTGCGAAGAGGAGCTTCTCGCAACTTGAGACAATTTTCCAAGTTAATTATCTCGGAACTTAATTCCCTATTAACTGTCCGTTCAAGTTTTCCATATGAAGTTAACGCAAAAATTTCATTACCAATTTTCATCTGGAAAAACAGGAACGAACTTTTATTATCGGATATTCTAAGGGAAATTCGCAATACATAAGTAACGGACAGCGAGGACGAGTAGCAGGCGAGGCGTAGCGCGAATGCATGCGTGGTATGTGGATAGTTAATAGCGCTCGTCAACAGATTATTCGAGATTACGGCGACTAATACTGACGACTGTTTAAATATACAGTTACATTTGCTTTGGATTAAAGCGCTGCGTTAAATCTCGGTCGGTGCAGCCCGGAATGCACGGAATGCCATCCGCAAATCCGGGACATTCTACGACGACGTGCTACACATAGTCGTAAACAGCAGTGGCAAAACACTGTCGGTGGTGTCGGTTAGCTACTCCGAGAGCTGCTCGGATCATCTCCATATTATAGCGAATAGTGGGGCTCCCGGGCTAATTAAGTGCCCGAAATGCTAGAGTTACAATTCATCTCAGTTGTTACACAAATCGATCTAGAAGGGAAACACGATCGAGCTCTCGGGAGGATATTATGGAAATGGCGATTAATGGTAATTAAAAATTAACGTCCTCCCCTTCCCTCTGCAAGTCGGCGATTCTCAAATATATAAATGTCGTAATCGCTTCCTTAAAATGCTTATAAATCTTTTCCGATTATTGTCATGAATCTAATTAACGCGCTAATAGGATTAAACGTCTGAAGAAAAATCGTCTGAAATGAGCTGAAAGCGCATTTTCTCTTCGAGGATTCGGCGAAACAAAATCATTTATAATTGTTGAAATCCTTTGATGTCGAATAAATCTTACAAAACACGCGCATCAAAAAAATTCCGCGCCAGCTGAGTTAAAATTAAAAGACCGCAATCGCCGAATAAGTATGTCAAGTAGTGGTTGTACCTTCAATTAAGCAGATTATATATATCTTTATACGTAAAGTACGCGAATTACTCAGTATTTTTAGTTTGTTTTTTTTTTATTCGTTTTATGTATTTTTTTTATTTCTTTAATTCTTTCTCTCGATATATCAATTCGCAAACTCTGGTCGTCAATTTGAGATATAAGTTAGTAAGTAAAATCATAAAACTTTATGGAGCCGATTACTTTTGCCTGTATCTGATTTTACGTAGGATTAAACAAGTTTGAAAGGCAGTCTTTCGTGATTCTTCGAATTTTGAAATCATGCACAGTCAGAAGAAAATTCGAGCAAAGTCGCGCATCTGTTCGCGCAACCACTTTCAACGGCTGTCGGAGCATTACCCCGATCCACCGGATCTATCATCCTTCATTGAATCTTCAAAGAGCATTTCGCATTCAGCTCTGACATTCACTAATCTATTCCCGAACACGACAGATGAGATTGCACGGTAGTGCTCTGATTTATATCTTCGCGAACTGTCTGGCTCGGAACTTGATGAAACTTGCTATATTTATGGACCAATCGCGTGTAATTTTTTGCCATGCGTATTTTTTTATAATTAAACCTTGGAGTTGCAATGCACTGCGAAATTAGAAAAGATAAAAAAAATATTGGAAAAATTTCTTATTTCCCTGCGGATGTGATAATATTTATTTTGTTCTTAAAACACCATCAAGAATTTCAATTTTTTATGGTTTGCGATAATATATATATATATATATATATATATATATATATATATATATAATATTAATAATTTCACTGAATAGGGATTTTATCTTTATCTTGAATAACAATAAATGTAATAAAATTCAAAGGTAACCTTTCTCGTTCTAAAAACCTGCCAAAATTCCTCGAGTCGAAAGAAAGACGTTCATGAATTATATATATATTTTTAGCCCCCGATCTAGAGTATTGGAATCTATTTTCAGAGAGAAGATGCTTTGCAGTTTGGTCCGGTAAATAATATACGAATCGATTTGCCGGAAGTCATCGCACGTCTCCCGCGCGGAACTTGTAGCACGCCCGAATACACGGTGTATACCTTTGACGAGCTATATTACGATATAATACAATGTTGACGACGTCGATAATGCAATGAGGTGGCGACTGACGGAGGGACCCTATTTCTGAGACAATTTCGAAACTTCTCAGCTACTCGATTACACGTGCGTGAAACGCAGATCGCAATTTCCTGCGATAATATCAGGTATTCATTTCCAGGTTAAATCGATCGTTTATTAATACAAACTGCATTCTCACCACAAGTCTGACACTGTATCGAAAATTTAATCATTTTATCTTGAATTAAAAACAATCCAAAACAATTAAAATTTTAAAAATTTATATACAATATTATTGCCCCTTTTTTCATACTTTCAAGAAGATATACATATATTGTAATTTTTTTACATACAACTAATAAAATAATTCACGCACGCGAATTATGTATGATACATACATTCATATATTTCCGATAGGAATATATTTCCAATTCAAAATCGTATATATAAGTCAATTATATAAATTGACTTTATAATATTTAGTAAAACTTTTCAAAGTGTAAAATAAGCGAAATTATATATACTACTATCACGTTACATTAATTAATATTAATATTATTTTAATATTATTATATATTGAAACAAAGTATAACGACATACATTTCGAGATAAACGCGTGAACTCGCTCGGTTATAATTGCTAAAAAATTGGTATTATTAATATCGGAATAAACAAACGCTGCGTAAAATGTATACGCATGTTTCCTAACAAAGCATTGTTTTTTAAATGCATTTATCTTTCTCTATTTATGCAAGGCCGGTAGAATTTTTCCACTAGACAACTCTGGAAAATACGATTGATGTAATATTGAATATTGTTTGAACCATCTATTTTGCTATGCATAAAGACTAATTACATCGCAATTGTAAACGCATTGATAATGAGTTTCATGGGATCAAATGCCGTAAATAGTATTTGTTAATATAACGGTCAATTTAGCGATAATATATGTAATGCTATGTGTGAAAGGAATATCAATTTCACAACTACGAATTCATCATGTGAACAATATGAGAAAAATTAGAAGAGAGAAATTTGATACACGATTCTATTTAAAAAAAATTCGATTATTAATTATATTTAAAAAAAATTATTTTCTTATAAAATCTTAATATTCATATTTTAAGAGCAATGTGGT